TTTGTTACTGTATTGAGGAAATTCTCAGAGACTGCTCATATTGGTGATGCTATCTTTGAAGAATACAGTAAGTTAAATTCAAATTACACTCATTTTATTAGTATTTTAGGGCAAAAATCAACTGATGATTATGTTGAAGAAATGGAAACTTACTTAACTGAAAGTATTTTTAATTTGATTCTATTAATTTTATGTACATTTTAGAAAAAAGAAAATCTCAAATCTTTTTATGTGCATCAAGTAATTCAGAATGTAAGAATTATTTAATGGAGTTGATAAATTATTTTCATTCAAAGTTGCCGAAGATTCAGTTATTCTTGGTCACAAGATACTATTTCCTCGGGATATGAGAAATGAATTTAAAGATATGAGGGTCAAATTTGGATCAACTTTTTATGATGTACGACTTCTTTTCTCAAAGAAATGGAGTGAATCACAGAGTGACATCAACAATGTTAAAGCACTACTCATTGATATTTTTCCTGATCTCAGGGCTGAACTTTCTGTTGTAAAAACCATTGATGGTGTTCTGGATGTGGTGAAGAGAAAGTGTAGCATTATTGATATTCGTCCTCTTGAAGTATTAGCTCAAAAGTTTGAAGTGAAAGAGGCAGAGGCTATTATCAGAGAGCATAAAGAAGCAGCTGAAGAGTTCTGCAAGTCAGTATCAGTAAACGTCTTCCAAGACCAAACATTACAAGTGATTCCAACACAACATTTGCTATGTGAAACCATAACTTTTGTCCTGAACTGGAATCCTGATGAGACTACACTGCAAGACATCAATGATGTACTGTTGGAGTTAAAAGTACTCCACAAATATCAAATAAAAGTAGTTGGAGTTGGTACTGGATCAGTTATAGTAACCTGCTACTGTCCTGCAGAATATACTAGCTCACTCATAGTAACTGTCCTCAAAAAGATAGAGATACTACAAGAGAGAGGATTGACAGATTTTATAGTAGGGAACTGTACTATATGGAATAATGTTGCTCATGAGGTATGAATCATTATTAGTACAAAATTATACTGTTAAATTAAAGGTATCTGAAATGACAAATAAAGAGATTGACCAAATTACCAAAAGTACTGTCATTGATTATGAAGGTATATACGTGATCATGCACATAATTATAACCTATTTTTAATGTTTTTTATACACATACATGCAGACACAGAGAAAGAGTTAAGGCAACAGTTAGCTGAGAAAAATAGAAAAATACTAGAGCTTCAACAAGAGAAACAACAGGCACATTTATTACCAGCAGGTATAAAAGATGGTAAATATTATTTAAAAACTAATTTTAGAGTCAAATGATGAATTAAATAAGAAATTAGAGGTACAATTTGCAATTGGTAGAAGAAAGACATTGGAGATTGAGGACTTAAAGGCTACTGTGAGACAAAAAGAAGATAAAATAATTGGTCAGAAATAAATTCAAATAAATTTATTCATTGTTTAAGAGAGTATGACTAAATTGTCATTTTAATTTTTTTTAAATCTAAAGCCATTGAGAAAGAGTTAGTGTCATTAAGGGAACTGTCAGAGAATCAACTACAAGAAATAGAACAACTGAAACTGAAACTTAATGGTAAAAATGACACAAAAATGTAACTGACAAATTTTTATTAATTGACATAGCTTTACCAGTTGCAGCTTGTATGACTACACATACAGTTGAAAGTGATAATGAGGTGATAAAATCAAAAGGTGAGTTAAAGAGTTGTTGTGCTTATAATGCTTTATGCAATTTAAACAAGTAAATA